ATAAAACACGACTTTGGTTTTTAAACTAGTGTTTTGAACCAAAAAGGTTTAGAAAAGAGGTAGGTGAGCATGTTAAAATTTTGAGAACGAACTGGTCAATTCGACTACTTAGACAATTGAATGGTGCTTTTGATTCATGTCTTAATAATAATTTTTGTATAATGATTTTTCCTTTTTTCTTGAGATATATTTGGTTGGACCTGGATCAACCTTATTCTGGCTCCCTTGGTGACCCGGGTTCGATTGACCCCCTCTTGAACAACCGCCTTAACCTCACGAGCTCATGAGTCATGCGTGGATAGGTATGTCAAACTATGAGAGAGTCATAATGCGATAAAGAGATGGACTCAAGCACCTACCTCACCGCGGTTTTGAGTTTCTGGGATAAGCCCGGGCTATTGCCCTCTTAGATCAATGAATGAAGGCCCTTCGGCTGTCCAGCAGCACGGTTTGGATGCAGCCCTTCACTAAACTCAACACCTCCCTTGGACGCTCACTTGAAAACTGCTAATGAAATCCAAATATGATATACTCCTATTTGATGTGTTTTATGGGTTAGTGGCTCTAATTTTGGAATACAGTGGTAGGTGTTATACGTCATTTTTGATGCACCTCAGCCCTTCAATCAAATAAAGGAAGACAGCCGGCTACAACCCGGTCACCGCGGCACACAAGATGGAAACAGTAGTCGTAGATGAAGTAAGCCTCAAATAAAGGATGATCGAAGGAAAAAGATGCCTACACGAACAAAGAGTCGAAGCCTTATCCCCGCCATTGTGTGTATAGGAGCCGGGTAGGCATGCCGAAGGACCATCGTCATCTTCCAAGAAAAAGTAACTGAGCTCAGGCTCAAATAGACTGACCCACTGGCCCTAAGCCCAGACCATCGCAAAGTAGGGTAGAGGCACGCCTCCCGCAGTACGGCCTCATCGAATGAGTCGACAGCCATGGCGATTTCTCGGCTACTCCTCAACGAGGTCGCAACTTCTTCCCTGCAGCAGAAGAGTAGCCAAAAGCTTCAAATGCCAACGAAAAATCTTCAACGATATTCCTCTCTTTAACGAACAAACGTGAAGGCACACTTCCCCCACGAAAAAGAAGAAAAAAGGACATCCTGAATCCATGAACTCTGGAATCTTCAAAAGGACATCTTAGCGCCTCGCAGAGAGAACTCGGCCACATGAAAGTTGATACCGAGAAAGGAAGACTTCCAGGAAGAGAACCCAAGTCAAACACGACAAGCAGCATTTGAAGCAAAACAGAAAAAAACACGAAACCCAAGGTCACAAGATAAAAACAAGAAAATCCCCATCGCCCGAAATCCCTTTCCGATGATTCATCAACAGTCCAAGAACAATGCAAGAGCAAGTCAAATCTCTTGCAAAAACACTCGAAAAAGACCTTCACCAAGCTCGCAAACAACACAGAGACACCGCAGATCAGAAAAAGAAACCATTGAAGAGTTCATGAAACTAACTGGGTTCCTTCACTCATGAAGGAGATTGCCGCAAAAAGATAAAAAAGGATAAAAAAGATCACAAGGAAACGAACGTCAAGAATATAATAATAGATCAACCCATCTCATATTGCAAGTACTCGGGAAGAACTCTCGAAGTTTTGACAATGGCATCGGGCTTCTCAGAGAAGGACGAGTTTTTCATATGTGCAAGAGAGTTTTAGGTCATTTTTGTCATTATACTCAATTTCGCGACTTCATTTTAATTAATTTAAATTTTATTTAGGTTTAGTTTTTAAGTATCAACCCCTATTTGTAGAAAACTCTATATAAACAGGCTTAAGTCAATTGTAAAAGGGAATTACAATTCAATAAAGTAGAGGCATTATGATTGATTCTGCTCGTCTTTTCTCTTAGCCCTAGTGTCCCAAGGAGAGGAGAAAGAAAACTTTTGCAAGAGAGGGAAATACCCCCGAACGTGTGAGTACACACTTTCCTTTTCTTGAAGATGTTTATCGCTTCCGAAACTTTCTCTCTTTTTTCTCCCACACATGTAATCCCACGTACGTGTAAGACTGTGCATACCCGAGCAAACTGGAAAGGTTCGAACTGACGCGCGTCTGCGTCTAATCCCTCTTCCTCGCTTTGACAGCCTGATAAGAACGACAAAATTCCCCACTCGCTTATTCGATTGACGAAAAGAAAGCCAACCCCGAAACGAAGAATCAAGACATCCATCGGAACCTAGACTTGAGAGGAGAGAAGAGAGTCGTAGCGTCTAAAGAGAGTCCCTGACCAAACCGCACTGGTGAGCTGTCGGAGGACTTTGGGAACTGATCTAAGAGCGTGATCCTCCCGGACATGTCCCTTGCAACGACGAGGTAAGTGAATCAACCCTTCCCTGTCGTAAAATCTCTCTCTTTGTTGGTAGCCTATCCGCACTCAAGAAAGCTAGCGCGCTCATGTCACCCAATGCGCCATGCGCGTAAGTCTTTGGCGGTTGTTTGAGAGATAATCTTCTCCTCGTGCCCCTGTCAGAGGGAACTAGAGAAAATCATGCACCGACCAACTGGGGACACATCACCCTATACTTGGCTCGGACTATTTTCAGACAAAAATCCTCTTCTCTTCTCTTTCTAAAATCTTGATAGATTCCCATTCTTCTCCTCTCCTCCAAATCGGGGAATATCTCATCCCCATATCAGTGACTCATTCATGCACGAGTGGGTTAACTGGCCTTGCCACCCTAGTCCAATCTAGGGTAATACAGAGTATGGGCAGTTACGCCACTACTCCTTCCCTCACCCTTGACCGGAGGGAACCCAGTAGGGTTACCTCTAAGGACTGTGTTGTGGTCGCTCTTCCACACCTTCATGACTGGCACCTAGTCAGTCGTAAACCTAGATGTGGGATTCCCCGCCACTCAATGAACCGGAACAGGGTTGCCACCTCCACCGATGCCTGTAAAGCGGGACCGCTCGTCCCTCGCGCCATCCGCGTTGAACTGTCCTCCTTCACAAGTACTCTCGTCACTGCCGATGACCTAACCATCGCGATGGCAAGTCGGGGTGAATGGTAAACCATCTCAATCCCTTCACCCACCTCGGGTTTCTTTAGACAAAGTTCACCACACGCGGTCCGCGGACGGCCTCCATGCCACATGACAGACTCGCCGCTAGGAGCAATCCACACTGTAGGCTCATGAGACACACGACCTTCAGATCAATCGAAGGTCACAAAAATCCCTTCACATATATGTCGAAACCCATAAGGCCCTACTAAACCAGACGGGCATGCATTTCAAGTGCCGAGTCCTGTGCAACATGAAGGGATGGACCTATCTCCATCCCGAACACCGTGATAGCTCGCACACACCCATGCAGGGACGAACATCTCGCTACCATGAAGAGGGGGATATCGGAAACCCAAGACGGCAACCAAGTTTCTGCAGCCTCCTGGCTTTCGAAGAAGTTCCCCACAAGCACTGTTCTTTCGACCCTGCATGCGCTATGCTCGTAGGAGCCCCCCCAAAACAGAGCATGGGGCATGCCACACCCAAAAGCGACATGCCGGTTAATCCCTTACTTGAAAGCACAGCCATCACGAAACGGCTAAACACTCGAGGGACTCGCATTCAAATGGTATGCACGCCTGCCACCAATCTCAATCCAATCGTGGGAAGAAATGGTATAGCTCTCTCACAAACGCTTCTTTGAAGCTGAGTTGGAAGTCCAAACCATAGAGCTCCTCACCATGACGCAAGAAACCAGACGAGTCAGTAGGAAAATAAATATAGAGATGGCATGACCTCACCATGTGTCTGAGAAGCCCAATGAGTGAGATAGAATCTGTGCAAACATGCGTAAGAAATATGAAATAAGAGATTGGCCTATAAGTCAAGGCATCCAACCCTACCACCTTCTCCGGCATGATCATAAAGGCTGCCAAAATCGAAAGCCTATTAAAACACCATGGAGGAGACCGAGCCCAAAGTTCAAGCACCAGTCAGTCTCGTAACGCCAGGGGAAATAGGTCGAATCCTAGCACCAATCATACTAAGAACGTAATCAGTGCAACCGTCACAACCGCACCCGTCGAAGCTAAACCTACGGCTGATACAGCCCCTCTGCCGACCCTAGACATGTCACGAGGGATACTGACTAAAGCCAAGATGGATGCGCAGCCGCAAGCCCCTTAGAAGAAAAATTACAACAACATGCCACCGCCGTAAAAATACCCTCCTGGAAATGCTCATTGACCAAGAGATGTTGGTCCTCCTTGACACCAAGAAGCCAGAGCAAATAAAGCTCGTTGATGACCTCAAATATTGTGCCTACCATCGAGGTGTGGGACACCTAGTCTAGGATTGCATCCAGTTAAAAGAACACATCTAAGCCCTAATCCGAAACGGACAGATCAACCTAGAAGGCCTCAAAAAAGCTTTTGAGACCCCAGAAACTTCCCACATGGTCACGGTCCACGAGGGATCCATCAGTGACTCTTCTCTAGTCAGGCTACCTCTCGAGCAACTTTCTGTCCTATTCGACATGATGTCCCATCATAAGATGATAGCGCCCCGCGTTCTCAAAAAACAAGAATTAAGCATGTAAAAAGGCCAAAACCCTTGGCGCAAATACCATCAACAAAGGGACCATGACTTGGCCAACTGTAGGGTGTTCCACTCTATCTTGAAGAACTACATCCAAATCGGTTAGATAGTCCTAACAGATGGAGGACCTTCATCACCACAAGGAAACCAGGAGGAACAGGCTTCCTCTCAACAAGGATCCCAATCAACTCAGCCCCCGCCCTCTATGAGCGAGGAGAATCAAATGACCTGAGAAGAACCCAATTGATCTTGAAGGCAAGACCTTAAATTTACATTCCAAAAAAAAAAAAAAGCATCACCATCAGATAGAAGAGAAAACTCCTCCTTCAATTACATATTGGAAAGGTTACGAAAGGAGGGCTTGAGCAAAAAGGCTCAAAGAAAAGTCCACGAGGAGAAAAAGCCTTGCGCCTTCAGAAGCGATGAAGAGAATCCTTAATCATCACTTTTAGCTCCTCCGCACGTGGCAACAGGGCCTGCTTCTCTTCTTGAAGGTAAGAAAATCTCCTGAGCAGTCGAATTGCCCAAGGAGGTGACTGCCACGTAGTCGGAATCCAGTTGCTCTAACTCGTACGACTGCTGATGCAACGCTTCCCAGCTATAGTCTCGACGAGTGCTCAGTGAATCTACCCGAGCTTGCAACTCCTCCATCTCAGCCTTCACAACCTTAAGCTCTTCAGAAAGGCTCGCAACCTCTATTGATAGGGAGTCCCGCTCTGAAACGAGGCCCTACTGGTAGGTCAAGTCCTTCTTCAAGACGTCCAAGTGTCTCCTAAAAGATGCTTGCACTGCATCCTCGCATGAAGTGCTCCGATAAGGGGCACCCCCTCAATCTCTGAAGGCAAGAACAGAGCATCCCCCTCACCATCGACGCCTTGAATCCCGAAGGCGACTGTGGAACAGCAGGGAAACCAACCACATCTAGTAGAGGCAAATCAAGCATAAGGCTCCCAGATCCAGGAGGCGTCATAGCCCTTGCAGCATCACGAGGCCCAACAGGAGAGCCTGCCACATGCCTTCTGAAGCATGCAAACCCGAGGACTGTGCCACTGATGAGTAGGGAAGACGAACTGTTGAAGCACCCATCTTCTTCTGTGCAGCTTTTAGAGCAAGCGGAACAGACGTCGCAGGGCGTGAAGGAGATGCCATGCAGGCGCTAGTAGCGGAGGTCATGCCAACCTCAACCCTGGATGTAGGGCTTCTCGAGCTACGCCCTGGATCAAGAGGCAGCACACTTGACCACCTAGGCCAACTATCTACCGACCATGACATCGTTATCGGAATTGAAGATGGTGCAGTTGGAGGAGAATCCGGAGTCCTACGAGCTCTTTATCGAGCCTGCCTCGCGTGAGACGGTATTGAGGACACCGCCTTGGAGGACAAGTCTCCCTTGCTCGAATGCCCCTCTTTCCCCCAAGAAGAAGAAATGGACGAAGATTCTCTCCCTTTTTCTCTCTTTCTCTCTCTCTCTCCTTATCTTCCCTCTCCTTGAGAGGAACGCTCTTGGGCTTAACAGAAGCAGGAAGTCTTGGAGCAAGACTGACCTGTCCAAACGAGCCAGAACGAGTTTCGTCCTCAGGCCGAGCATAGGGAGCTAGGGAAAGCTCTTCTTTCTGAGGTAGGGCCTCTCAAGCCTACCGAAGAAAGACCAATTCTTCTTCTTCAACGAGAGCAGCTTCATCCTTTCCTCGTCTCCACTTAACAAATGGGGCTTGGCCAGTTTCCACTAGTCAGCAGGATGATAATCTAAGCCGAAGATGGCAGAAAAAGGAGGAGGGACGAGGCGTCTGCCGGCCCTCCCCTCGGGTTTGGAGCCACCAGAAACTTGTCATGGATGGGATGCATCCCAGTAGTCAGCATTAGTGGAATCTCACCACTGTCAGTAGCTTGCAGTCGTATGACACACATGGCCATAATGGGGGACCACAAACCTGCTATGACCCGGTAGAAGAAGACAAGTCTTCCAGGCCATACACATATCAAGGTCTGTCCAAACCTCTTGGCTCACACCAGGAGCCTCAGGATCATGCAGCGGCCCTTTCTTTCCATATTTCTTGAAGAAAGAAATTGTGACACAACACCCCTGATCCAGACCATGCTGACGTGCAAAGCGGTGAGAAAAATAACCCTCCAGCCACTTGCACCCCGCTCCCTTGAATGGAAGAATACACCATCGAATGCTTACAAGGTACATGGCCTCTCTAGTCTCGGTGACCGCCTTATCAAGAGCCCCGAACGAGCGAAGAAGGACGCATCAATCAGGAGCTCACAGATAACATTGGGCTCCCTAACTACCGTCCTCATCCCAAAGACACCTTGTCGCTGTTGCCCTTCGAAGGGACCTTCCCACGGGCAATGGACCTTAACCAGTGGAAAATACTACACAAGACTTGCTGAGCCTGTGCAAAGCCAGTACCCTCGGCCATCATACAAGCCACATAGAAACAACCAGGCCGAATGATATAACCCTTCACCCCTTGAAGAGCAAAGTTGCACAACAAGAGGGTCAAGTAGATGGTCAAGTACACCCGGTCCCGTACATTCCGCCTCGGTGGGGCAACCGCCTTCTTCGAGGCATGACTGCCTCCACCTGTTGAGACTCGTATACCCATGAAGTGCTCGAGTCCACATCCTCACCCTCTTGGTCGTTACCGTGAAAGTAATATCGCTACGCTTCAAAAAGTACCCCACCAGTCCAGGGCTGTGACTCTAAGTATAGGAACTGATAGATCTCAAATAGCTCACTGAGACTCGCAGGAGAACGCTTCCCCTTGATGGGTACGCCCTGAAAATAACCCCATTGTTGGGAACAAACTCCTCATATTCCTCCCTCAACAAAGGAAGACCACCTACAAAATACAAATCCAGAAGGGTAATGCCCGCCTCACCCTCCTGCAAAAGCCAACTGTTGGTACGAAAACACCAGATCTCCAGCATACCCTTCATGGTATCCGAACACTGGTCGTAATAGCCAACCTGGCATTGAAACGACGCAGCTAGGCCACACTCCTTCAAGGTACCGTCGAAAGAATCCAACACATCCAACGTCCAAGAGCTGTATCTAGCCAGGTACTGGTGCTCCCCTTCAAAATGAAGAGTTCTTGCAGCCCACTAAAGTTCGGGCTTTGCCAACATCCTCTTCCCTAGTGTAGCCATACTCTCACCAGAAGGAGAGTGCCTATGCAAAGCATGATAAAGAGGAACGACGTCCCTCTGGACAAGAGGCTCCCCCTCGGCATCCCCATGCAGACAAAGCTACGCGCTCTTGCTTGCAAAGGTGATACAAGAAGGCCAGGTGATCTCCTGACGAGGCTCGACCCTCTCTCAACGAAGTTGCCCTCGCCAAAGGCACCTCAATGAAGAGATCAGACCCTAACTCACCAATACCAGGAAGTTGGCTCACATCGAGAACTTGCACTGCAAAAAAAAAAAGGAGGGGTAAGATAAATATTTTTGTCATTAGGAGGGGTAAAATAAATATTTCTACAAGAATTAAGTAGTATTTAATGCTCTATGTAGGTGATGTCATACCCCATGTTGATGATGTCATTCTCCACTGTAATTATTTAACATTCTTCTTTTTATCATTAATTTTTACTTTGCCCTTGAATAATTATCTAAAATACCCCTAGACAAAAAGTTAATACATTATGGGGTAAGGGTATTAAATGTCAAAACATGTTAAATACATTAAGTAAATATTCACATATATGAGTACCAAAATATAATCAGTATTAATAACATATATCACTTGAAATTGCTTTAAATTGAACTTTGTTTGTTATTTTTCTCAAATTAATCATTGCTCATTATCATATAGGTTACCATTAGGGCATAAATATAATTTTCGCATTTTTCTGGCTAGGTTTATTTTGTGTCATATTACAAATGCTGATATTTTTTTATTCGGATTAAGAGATTTCGATCTTCAGATTGGACAATTCTGATCTAATTTGGTGTGCACCGCTGAAGATAGAATAAGTAATGTATAATTTAGTTTTCTTTTTCTCTTTTTTTGAAAAAAGTATTAGTAATGTATAATTTAGTTTCTTTTTATTTTTTCGTTTTTAGGAAACGAATGAAATGCAACATGCTTTAAGAGAACTTAAAAATAAAAATAAAAAATAAAAGTTTTGGCTATGAAATAAAATGTGGGCATGATCCTGCCTAGTCGTTGTCATCATCCTCCACCTCATCCTCAACAACCTCGTCATCATCCTCTGCCTCATCCTCGTCATACTCTGCTCATCCTCATCATCGTCATCATCTCCTCTACCTCATCCTCGTCATCTGCTGCTTCATCCTCATCATCGTTATCATCTCCTCTACCTCATCCTCATCATCTGCTGCTTCATCCTCTTCATCCTCCATCTCATCCTTGTCATCCTCCACCTCATCCTTTGCCCTATCATCCGTTGCTTTATCTTCATCATCCTCCATCTCATCCTTGTCATCCTCCACCTCAGCCTCATTATCATCCTCAGCCTCATCTCTGCTATCATTTTCCTCCTCAAGATTATTCAGCACCTTGATAAGATCTTCTTGCTCGTCCTCACCAACAATGTAAGCATTGACATTACCTCAATAAATAGTTCACCAACAATCTCGGCATTGACATTAATCAATAGGTCTCGATAGTCTATTAGGGCATTGATTTTGCAGTATACCACGTGTCACTAATTTAGTTGTTATCCATTGCCGAATTAATTTAGGAAAATTATTAATTAGAAAAAGTATGCATTTCTTATTATATTCTTTTATTCATACCTCGAAATAATGAAGAATGGCTAGTTTCTCACCCATGCTGGAAAAATAGAAAGGGAGTTTAAAGAATTAATGATAGTGTCGATCTAAGTTGCATAGTTTCATGAGATATTAAATTATAATTAAAAATACAATGCTTCATAATATATTATTGGGATATGATTAAGAGTTTAACTAAGAGATACCGCTCAATGTATTACCTTAGTATGAAATAAATTGATGTTTTTAAAAAAGAATCAGCAATCTAAATCGCTTGATTGGTTAACTAGACGGGTTGCTATAAAACACAACTTTGGGTTTTAAAATAGTGTTTTGAACCAAAAAGGTTTAGAAAAGAGGTAGGTGAGCTTGTTCAAATTTTGAGAATGAATTGGCCAGTTTGACTACTTAGACCACCAAATGGTGCTTTTGATTCATGTCTTAATAATAATTTTGGTTTAATGATTTTTCCTTTTTTCAAGAGATATATTTGGTTGGACCTGGATCTACCTCCCCCGGGCTCCCTCGAGGCCTCGGGTTCGATTGACCCCTCTTGAACAACCGCCTTGACCTCACGAGCTCGTGTGTCACGCTAAGATAGGTACGTCTAACTATGAGAGGTTTTAATACGATGAAGAGATGGGCTCAAGCACCTATCTCACCTCGGTTTGGAGTTCGTGAGATAAGCTCAGGCTATTCCCGTCTTAGAACAATGAATGAAAGCCCTACGGCTGTCCAACAACGCGGTTTGGATGCGTCCCCCTCTCTAAACTCAACACCTCACCTGGACTCTCACTTGAAAACTGCTAATGAAATCCAAATATGATATACTCCTATTTGATATGTTTTATGGGTTAATGGCTCTAATTTAGTAATAGAGTGGTAGGACAAGAATAAGAGGAGATATGGGAAAAAAAAGAAGAAGATGATGAAGACAAAGTAAAAAGATATGAAGGGAAAATTGGACAGCCTCCAGGCATAACCTCTCTTAAGAGGTATTATCGGAGACAAAGAAAAGCACTAGGTTTGAAGCCTTGGTGCTCATAGGGCTTGGAAAGTGGAGTTACATGACGGAATATATAACTATGTCACTAAACCAAAGAGCCCCCAAAAGTGATCAAGAGAAGGAAGAAAGTGTGCGTGTGTGTGTGTGTGTGTGTGAGAGAGAGAGAGAGAGAGAGAAAGAGAGAGAGAACACGAATCCAAAATGACCAGATTTGAATTAGAGAAAATCAGGGAAAATAATAAGTCAGTTTGATTGGATCTAATGAGAATAAACAAAAAGTAAGAAATCAACACAAGAATGAAGAACAACAAGAGAAAAGACAGAGAATGAATAAAAGTTAACAAAAAGCTGAAAGGATAAAAAAAAGATAATAAGGAAACAAGAATGATTAAAATAAAAAGGGAAGATATGGGAACATATAATACGAGGTTAATGACACTCCTTCTAGTTAGGAGCATGTGTAGAGAAAGAGTAAAAAGGAAACTTGAAAATTCAATTCGAATTAAGCTTGCTTTATTTCATCACCGGACTAGATTAGGATATGAAACTTCATTAGTTTATGGATTTCTACAATTTACTTTAACAATTCATTAAGATTTTTATTTTTTTCAAAAATAAAAGATATAAATCTTTTTCATAATTGAAATTTGAAAAGCGTTTTATGTTTGTCTCGTACCGGCAAATAACGTTATTTATTAGAACATTACTTTGTCACGGTAGGTCAATTTTCAAAACTGTTCAGATGATAATATTTGTACTAGTAAAAAATATTAAAAATTATGCCAACTTTTATGATCATTAAAAACTATTTTTAATAAAAATTCATCACAATATAACCATACCATATGTCCTAAATTTCTTTTGATGACCTTTTGTGTATTATAATCGTGCAGCCATGGCGTTCAATTTCAATTGATAATTTTCATAATCGTAACCGTTAGAGAAAATGATGCAATAAATTTCACGTCATCTCAAGATCTAATCAATAGGATATGGAGGTTTAAGCTAGAAATATATCCTCATAAAGTCCTAACTGATAAAGTCTCCATACATATGAAGGATTAAGATAATTTTAAGTTTTTGAGCTTTTTTTAATATTTATATTTTAAAAGAAAGTCATTAACACTTCCTTACCTTTTTTCTTTTTCTTCGTAATTAAGAACTTTATTATTTTTGAAAAACTTGTACTAATTGATATTGCACAAATTACATGAATAATAAAAATAAATAAAGCAAGAGGGAGAAACATAACTATGAACCATTGATAGCTTGATTTTACAAACCTAGATAGAGAAATAATAAAGTACACATCACCCATGTTTATAGCTCAATGCCATATTCTATATGTCAAGGTTCTTTCACACGCAACGTCTCTCTTTCTCTCTCCTTTAGAAATCCCTCAAGGCTATTTTTCTCAATTTCTTGAAATTGCAATAAATTTAACTTTATTTGTTATTTTTCTCAAATTACTCAAGGCCATTGGTTTGAACGTATTTTTCATCATCTTGGTCCCTGGTTGGCAACAAGTCAATAAAGCCTATAAAATATTGAAAATTCCCGACAATCTCATAATAGCCCCAAAACTAGTCAATATCTTTCTAAGAACTCCAATCTGTCAAGTTTCATCGCGATCAGGCATATCTAAGGTAGTGAATACAAAAAACAATTTTTGAAAAATTGGCCTCTAGCACCCTAAAATGGACCCTACAACTGGAACTATATTTTTGGAATATCGAATCACTGTGGGACTACCTCCATTGGATCCGACATGGTCGACAACCCCCATGGGTCAATTTTTCGACTTAATCAAACACTACAAGATAACAATCTGAGTAAAATATTGAAACAGGAGGGGTCGCACACGATTCCCATGTGGCCTCACTCCATCAAACACCATCAAAGGTGGTTGTTTATACAGTCATGAGCAGTCACTTCCCGAGCCTATAACTTACTCGTTCCAAGTTAGATCGCTCCCAAATTTGGTGAGTGTGTTCTTCTCATCAAGACGTGAAATTCGATATGTGGTACGCCCCATGACGACCCCCGAGCAAAGAGAAAAACAAAATGAAAGTCGCTAATCCGTGAAGGAAGTTACAGAAAACTCAGCAGCAGCACACCTTGTTCGAGCAGCCAGATCACAATGATCGCATATCTGATCGGCACGAAACCAATTGTGTTATGTGCGTGAGGTCTGAGGCTATCTCTGGACCAAACCTCACGTACGATGAACGGTTGGATTTCACACACAAAGGGGCCAAATCTGCTGTAAATTTCGGCCAAAAACTCATGACGACGAAATCTTCATCTGGACACGAAATCAAGCTGTGTTCATTGCAATGTGATCGTGACGGCATGCTCAGTGTGATTCAATAAAGAAATCATGAAGAAACATCAAGGAACAAGCACACAATTGATCCGCAATTTTCAAGATTCATCCAAGATTCAAGTCTCGTGATCATGGCTCAAAAACATGGTTCATGGCTCGAAGTTGGTATCAAAACGATCGCCATGCCAAGCCCTACAAGAAAATAATAATCTTTCTATCAAAAGGGCATCAAAACACCCTCAGGTCAGCCATGGATGATCACGCAAGATCTCGGGCAGCAGCAGGGACTGTTTTGGAATTTCACATATTGTTAGGCAGGGGCAAAACAGTCTTTTTGCACACTTTCTTAGAATTACTTTAAATTCAATTAAATCGTAATTACCTTCAATTAGGGTTACTTTTGGGCATCCACCTATGTTTGGCCCTAATTCTATATAAAGAGGCACTGCCTCATTGTAAAAGGACTCTCGATTCATTCTTTGATGATTCAATAGAAATTTTCATTATTGCTTGGAGCCTATGTGCACGTCTTGGAGAGAAAGAGAGAGAGGAGAGAGAAGAAAAGGGTCGGTATCTTTTGGACAGGTAACTTTATCTCTCCTCTCCTCTTTCTCTCTCCTCCCCGCTTTCTCTTTCCTCCTCATTGTAACTAGCACAAGTCTAGCGTCAGTTGCTTCTCCTCTCTTTCATCCCCAGCGTCAGTTGGGGTTTCCCTCTCTTCTTCTTCTTTCATCTCCAGTGCTGAGTGGGGTTTTTCCCTCTCTTCTTCTTTCATCCTCAGCACCAGGTGGGGTTTTCTCTCTCCTCTCCTCCTTAACAGTCGACGAACCCCAGCACCGGTTGGATTTCTTTCTCCTCTCTTCCCTAACAGTCGGTGAGCCCCAGCGCCGATTGAATTTCTCTCCTCTCTTTCCTAACAGTTGGCGAACCCTAGTGCCGATTGAATTTCTCTCTCCTCTCTTTCCTAACAGTCAGCGAATCCTAGTACCGATTGGATTTTTCTCTCCTCTTTTGTCACAGTCGGTGAAGCCAAGCGCCGAATCGATCTCTCTCCCTTGCTTCTCTCCCATCGCAACCAGTGCAAGCCTAACGCCGGTTGGTTCTCTCCCTCTCTTCTCTTCTGACAGTTGGCGAAGTCTAGCACCGACTGTCTTTTCTCTCTCTTCTCTTCTGAAACAGTCGACAATGTCTAGTGCCGACTGTATCTTCCTTCCTTATCTCTTTTATCCTCTTGTCTTTTCTCCAGCCCCCCTCTGTCTGTTCCCTTTTTCTCTTACTTCATTATGTCCCCCATGATCACCACTCTGCTATCCTTTCATTCGATTAAGAGCGATTGACGTTAGCCTCTCATGGAAGTCCTGTCGTCTAGCTGTAATATTGTTGTGTCAGGATTGCTTAGCCTATTTTATCGCCATGACAGACTGACCATCGTGCTTAGCTAGTCCGTATTGATAATGACGTCTAGTAGTAATCCCATGAGTCGGTCTTAGTACCAAGCCTGTTTTACTACCACGTCAGGCCAAATAGTTGCCAACTTGATCCTCTTGCTCAGTCGAACTCTTCTCTCTCATGTCTTTCTTCCCTTCTTCTTTTTTAATGCACCTGCTTGTGTACGTTCACCAAAGAGGAAAAGGGTCTGACCCACTCATCTTACAACCTTTGCCGTATATGTATGTAATTGCATAAAATAAGAAGAATACAAGTCAAGGGAGGTGATTCCGATCCAGTTTCATCACTGCGAGGCTTTCTTTGTGATCTAAGAGGGCACCCACGCGAGCCAGCCTGAGTAAGTCCCTAACCCACCTTTAAAAGTCCTCTATCACAGGTTGGTAACACCTGCCCTCGTTCTCGAACGAGGTTCTCGAGAGAGTGATTTTAAAAAGATCTCGGGACTTCCCTCTAAACCCGAGACACTTGCTGCCTGATCATCCAGATCCAGATGGTGAGATCGAGGAGGCCTGGGCGCCTTGCCCATGCCAGCCGCCCTTGACGGTCGGACCACCCAGCGCTAAGGAGGTCCAAAACCTCAGTGGAGGGCCTAGGCTCCTCACCCACGGTAGCTACCCTGGGTTGTCGGATCCCTCAGTGCTAAGGCAGCCTAGAAGGCCGGCGTGTCGCCACGGCAGTCGCCCAAGGCATTCAGACCGCCTATCGCCTAGGCTGTCTAGAGGGCATGCGCGTCTCACCCCGTGGTGGCCTAGAGGTCCTGTTCATCGCCACGGCAACCGCTCAGGGCATTCGGACCGCTCAGTGCGTAGGCGGTACAGAGGGCTTGCGCATCTCGCCCCTCGACCGCCGCTTAGGACTGGGTTAAGGTTGGGCAACTTTGTGCATCTCGCCCCTCACCGGCTGCCCAGGACTGGGTCAAGATTGTTGGGCACCTCGCCCAAGCGAACTGAGTGAGAATCAAAATCTACTTCTTTCTCTTTATCACCTCATAAGTATGAAAATAAATTGATGTTTTGGAAAAATAATCAGTAATCTAAATCGCATGATTGGTTAACTATAAGGGTTGATATAAAACACGACTTTGGGTTTTAAAGTAGTGTTTTGAACCAGAAAGGTTTAGAAAAGAGGTAGGTGAGCTTGTTCGAATTTTTAGAATGAACAGGCAAGTTCGACTACTTAGACCACCGAAAAGGTAGTTTGGATTCATGTCTTAATTGTACTTTTGGTATAATGATTTTTCCTTTTTTCATGATATATATTTGGTTGGGCTTGGATCTACCTTGCTCCGGCTCCCTCGGGGACCCGGGTTCGATTGACCCTCTTTTGAACAACCGCTTTGACCACATGAGCTCGTGTGTCATGCATGGATAGGTATGTCCAACTATGAGAGATTTTAATGCAATGAAGCGATGGACTCAAATACCTACCTCACCACGGTTTTTAGTTCGTGGGATAAGCTCGGGCTATTGCCCTCTTAGATAAATTAACAAAGGCCCTCCGGCTGCTCAGCAGTGCGGTTTGGGTGCGGCCCCCTCTTTAAACTCAACACCTCACTTGGACTCTCACTTGAAACTTGCTAATGAAATTCAAATATGATATACTCCTATTTAATGTTTTATAGCTTAATGGCTCTAATTTTGGAATATAGTGGTAGGACAAAAAAAAGAGGAGATTTATAAGAAATTGGTTTAGATATGGGAAGAAAAAGATGAAGACAAAGTAAAAGGAAATGAAGGAATGACCCAAAGAAAATTTGGCAGCCTCCAAGCGTAACCTCTTCTAAGAGGTATTACTGGAGACAAAGAAAAATGCCAGGTTCAAAGCCTTGGTGCTCATAGGGTTTGGAAAGTGGAGTTATATGATTGAACATATAACTATGTCACTAAACCAAATAGCCCCCTATAAGTGATCAAGAGAAGGAAGAAAGTGAGTGAGAGAGAGAGAGAGAAAGAGAGAGAGAGAGCGAGAGAAAGAGAGAACACAAATCCCAAATGACCAGATTTGAATTAGGGAAAATCAGGGACAATAATACGTCTATCTGACTGGATCTAATGAGAATAAACAAAACGTACGAAATCAGCACATGAATGAAGATCAACAAGAGAACAAGACAGATAGAATGAATAAAAGTTAGCAAAAAGCAGAAAGGACAAAAGAAAGAGATTAAGGAAACAGGTATAACTAAAAGAAAAAGTGAAGCTATGGGAACATATAATATAAGATTAAGGACCTTCTCCTTATGGTTAGGAGCATGTACAAAGAAAGAGTAAAAAGGAAAATTGAAAATTCAATTCGATTTAAACTTGCTTTTATTTCATCACTGGACTAGATTAGGATATGCAACTGTATTAGTTTATGGATTTCTACAATTTACTTTAACAATTCATTAAGAGTTTTTATTTTTTCAAAAATAAAAGATGTAATTCTTTTTCATAATTGAAATCTTTATATGAAAAGCGCTTTATGTTTTTTCCTATACAGGCACATAACGTTATTTATTAGAACATTGCATTGTCAAAATGATGCACTAAATTTCGCGTCATCTCAAGATCTAATCAATAGGATATGGAGATTTAAGCTAGAAATATATCCTCATAAAGTCCTAACGAATAAAGTCTCCATACATATGAAGGATTAAGATAATAATAAGTTTTTGAGCTTTTTTTTAATATTTATATTTAACAAGAAAGTCATTAGGACTTCCTTACACCTTTTTTTTTTGTAATTGAGAACTTTGTTGTTTTAAAAAACTTCAACCAATTGATATTGCACAAATTGTATGAACAATAAAAAAAACAAAGCAACAGGGGGGAATATATACGTTAACTATGAACCATTGATAGCTTGATTTTACAAACCTAGATAGAGAAATAATAAAGCACACATCACCCTTGTTTATAGCTCAATGTCATATTCTTTCTATCAAGGTTCTTTTCTCACTCCATGTCTCTCTTTCTCTCTCCTTTAGAAATCCCTCAGGGTTATTTTTCTCAATTTCTTAAAATTAGATAAGCTAAGGAGTTTGACTTTGTTGAACAAAAAAAATTGTTAAGGGTATTTGTCATTAGAAGGGGTAGGATAAATATTTTTATAAGAATTGAGTAGCACTTAATGCTCTATGTGGGTGATGTCATACCCCATGTCGATGATGTCATTCTCCACTATAATTAATTAACATTATTCTTTCTATCATGATTTCTACTTTGCCCTTGAATAATTATCTAAAATACCACTAGACAAAAAGTTAATACATTATGGGGTAAGGGTATTAAATGTCATGTTAAATACATTAAGTAAATTTTCGCATATAAGAGTACTCTAATATAATCAGCATTAATAACATAAATCACTTGAAATTTCTTTAAATTTAACTTTGTTTGTTATTTTTTTCAACTTAGTCATGGCTCATTGTCATATAGGTTATCATTAGGGCATAAATATAGTTTTCGCAATTTTTTGGCCAGGTTTATTCGTCCCATTTCACAAATGATGATACTTTTCGATTCGGATTGGGCGGTTTTGATCTTCGAATTGGGCGATTCCGATCTAATTTGGTGTGCACCGCTGAAGGTAAGAATTAGTAATGTATAATTTAGTTTTTTTTTCTTTTCTTTTTTTGGATAAGGTATTAGTAATGTATAATTTAGCTTCTTTTTCTTTTTCTGTTTTTAGGAATCGAATGAAATGCAACGTGCTTTGAGAGAACTTAAAAATAAAAATAAAAAATAAAAAATAAAAGTTTTGGCTATGAAATTAAATATGAGCATCATTCTGCCTCATCCTTGTCATCATCATCTACCTCATCCTCAACAACCTCGTCATCATCCTTTGCCTCATCCTCGTCATACTCTGCTTTATCCTCTTCATTGTCGACATCTCCTCTACCTCATCTTCGTCATCAGCTGCTTCATCCTCATCATCCTTGTAAACATCTTCATTGTCATCCTGTACGTCATCCTCATCATCATCCTCTGCCTCGTCATAGCTCATCATCATCATCCTCCATCTCATCCTTGTCATCGTCCTCCTTGTCATCCTCCACCTCATCCTCATCATTATCATCTGCCTCATCATCCGCTGCTTTGTCTTCCTCATCCTCCATCTCATCCTTGTCATCCTCCACCTCATCCTCATCATCATCCTTCGCCTCGTCTTCGCTATCATTTTCCACCTCCAGATTTTTCAGCATCTCGGCAGGATCTTCTTGCTCGTCCTCACCAACAATGTATGCATTGACATTACCCCAATCAATAGTTCACCAACAATGTCGACGTTGACATTACCCCAATCAATAGGTCTCGGCAGTCTATTAAGATAATGATTTTGCATTATACCGTGTGTCACTAATTTAGTTGTTATCCATCGCCGAATTAATTTAGGCAAATTATTAAACGAATTAATTTAGGCAAATTATTAATTATAAAAAGTATGCATTTGTTGTTATATTCTTTATTCATACCTCGAAATAGTGGAGAATGGCTAGTTTTTCACCTACGCTTAAAAAATAGAAAGGGAGTTTAGAGAATTAATTATAGTGCCTAACTAAGTTGCACAGTTTCATGAAATATTAAATTATAATTAAGAATAAAATGCTTCATAATATATTATTGGGATATGATTAAGAGTTTAACTTAGAGATACCGCTCAATGTCTTACCTTCATTTTATAGAAGGATATGTTTTGGCGGCTTCAAAGAATTCATATCAAACCACAGTTAGATTCTCATGCTTCAAAAGGTGGACTGTTCAGCACCTCGGTGATCCAAAGGGCATGGGCGCCTCTCTCAAGGTGGCCGGATTGGTCAGCGCCTAAGCGGAGGACCTGGGTGCCTTGCCCATGGCAGCCGCTCTGGACGGTTGGACTGTCTAGTGCTAAGGAGGTCCAATGCTCAAGCGGAGGGCCTTGCCCATGACAGCCACCTTGGGCCGTCGGACTGCCCAACTCCTAGGAGGTCCAAAGGGCCTAGGTGCCTTGCCTAGGGCAGCCGGACTGCCCAGAACCTAAGTGGATGGCCAAGGCGCCTTGCTCACGGTAGCCACCCTGGGCGGTCGGAGCGCCCAATGCCTAGGAGGCCTAGAGTGCCTGCGCATCGCCACGGCAGCCACCCAGGGCATTCAGACTGCTCAGGGCATTCAAACCGCCCTGTGCCTAGGCCTTCCAGAGGGCTTGCGTGTCTCACCTCTCTGTTGCAGCCGCAGCCGCCTAGGCGGACTAGAGGGCCTGCGTGCCACTACGACAACCGCCCAAGCCATTCGGACCGCCTAGCACCTATGCGGTACAGAGGGCCTCCACATCTCACCCCTCAGCCGCTGCCCAAGACTGAGCCAGGGTTGTTCGGCACTTCGTTGGGCACCTTTGCGTGTCTTGCCCCTCGGCGGTGGCCTAGAACTGGGCCAAGGTTGTTAAGCACCTGCCTGGGCACCTCGCCTAAGTGAAATATTATTGCATAATAACCGAGTGAGAGTCAAAATCCACTTCTTTTCCCTTCATCACCACATAAGTATGAAAAAAAATTTATGTTTTGGAGAAAGAATCAACAATCTAAAGCACATGATTGGTTAACTCAAAGGGTTGATATAAAACACGACAGTGGGTTTTAAAATAGTGTTTTGAACCAGAAAGGTTTAGAAAAGAGGTAGGTGAGCTTGTTCAAATTTTGAGAACGAACTGACCAGTTCGACTACTTAGACCACCGAATGGTGCTTTTGATGCATATCTTAATAATAATTTTTGTAAAATGAATTTTCTTTTTTTCATGAGATATATTTAGTTGGGTCTAGATCTAACCCCTCTTTAATAACTACATTAACCTCACGAGCACGTGTGCCACGCGTGGATAGGTATGTCCAACTATGAGAGAATTTTAATGCGATGAAGAGATATACTCAAGCACTTACCTCACCGCGGTTTTGAGTTCGTGGGATAAGTTCGGCCTATTGCCCTCTTAGATCAATGAATGAAGGCCCTCCGGCTATCCAGCAACGCGGTTTGGATGTGGCCGCCTCTCTATTCCCAACACCTCATCTGAACTCTCACTTGAAAACTGCTAATGAAATCCAAATATGATATACTCCTATTTGATGTGTTTTATGGGTTAATGGCTCTAATTTTGGAATAGAGTGGTAGGACAAGAATAAGAGTAAATTGATAAGAAATTGGTTTAGATATGAGAAAAAGAAGAAAAAGAAGAAAAAGAAGAAGACAAAGTAAAGAGAAATGAAGGGATGACCCAAATAAAATTGGGCAGCCTCCCGACGTAACCTCTCTTAAGAGGTATTACCGGAGACAAAAAAAAGCACCAGGTTCGAAGCCTTGGTGCTCATAGGGTTTGGAAAGTGGAGTTACATGACTGAACCTATTACTATGTCACTAAACCAAAGAGTCCCCTAAAAGTGATAAAGAGAAGGAAGAAAGAGAGAGAGAGAGAGAGAGAGAGAGAGAGAGAGATAACACGAATCCCAAATGATCAAATTTGAATTAGGGAAAATCATAGAAAATAATAGGTCTGCTTGATTGGATCTAATTAGAATAAACAAAAAGTAAGAAATCAACACAAGAATGAAGATCAACTAGAGAAAAAGATAGAGAGAATGAATAAAAGTTAACAAAAAGCTGAAAGGATAAAAGACAGAGATTAAGGAAACAAGAATGATTAAAAGAAAAAGTTAAGATATGGGAACATATAATATGACCTTAATGACCTACTCCTTATGATTAGGAGCATGTATAGAGAAAGAGTAAAAATGAAAATTTAAAATTCAATATGAATTAAATTTGTTTTATTTCTTCACCGGACTAGATTAGGATATGCAACTCCATTAGTTTATGGATTTCTATTATTTACTTTAACAATTCATTAAGATTTTTATTTTTTCAAAAATAAAAGACATAATTCTTTTTCGTAATTGAAATCTTTATTTGGAAAGCATTTTATGTTTGTCCCATACAGGCAAATAATGTTATTTATTAGAACATTACTTTGTCAAGGTAAGTCAATTTTCAAAACTTTTCAGATGATAATATTAGTAGTAATAAAAAATATTAACGATAATGCCAACTTTTATGAACATTAAAAACTATTTTTGATAGAAATTTATCTTCATATAACCATACCATATGTCCTAAATTCTTTTGATGACCTTTGGTGTATTACAATAGTGCAGCCCTTGCCTTCAATTTCCATTGATAATTGTCATAATCATAACCGTTTAGATAAAATGATGTAATAAATTTCGCGTCATCTCAAGATCTAATCATTAGGATTTGGAGATTTAAGCTAGAAATATATCCTCATAAAGTCCTAACAAATAAAATCTCTCTACATATGAAGGATTAAGATAATTTAAATTTTTGAGCTTTTTTTTTTTAATATTTATATTTAAAAAGAAATTCTTTAGCACTTCCTTATATTTCTTTCTTTTTTTTTCTTTTTTTTTTTTGCAATTAAGAACTTTATTGTTTTTAAAAAACATATACCAATTGATATTGTATAAATTACATGAACAATATAGAAAACAAAGCAAGAGGGTGAAGCATACATGTTAACTATGAACCACTGATAGCTTGATTTTACAAACCTAAATAGAGAAATAATAAAGCACACATCACGCTTATTTATAGCTCAATGCCATATTCTATTTGTCAAGGTTATTTTCTCACTCCACGTCTCTCTTTCTCTCTCCTTTAGAAATCCCTCTAGGCTATTTTTCTCAATTTCTTAAAATTAGATAAGCTAAGGAGTTATTGACTTTGTTGTACAAATTTTTTTATTAAGGGTATTTTTATCATTAGGAGGGATAGGTAAAATATTTCAAAGATAATTGAGTAGCATTTAATGTTCTATGTGGGTGATGTCATACCCTATGTGGATGATGTCATCTCCACTATAATTAATTAACGTTTTCCTTTCTATCATGAATTTCAGCTTTGTCCATGAATAATTAACTAAAATACCACTAAACAAAAAGTTAATACATTATGGGGTAAGGGTTTTAAATGTCAAAACATGTTAAATACATTAAGTAAATATTCACATATATGAGTACCCTAATATAATCAGTATTAATAACATATATCACTTGAAATTTCTTTAAATTTAATTTTGTTTGTTATTTTTCTCAAATTAGTCATGACTCTTTGTCATATAGGTTATCAATGAGGCATAAATGTAGTTTTCGTATTTTTTTAGCTAGGTTTATTTTGTCCCATATCACAAATGTTGGTATTTTTCGATTCGGATTGAGCGATTTCGATCTTTGGATTGGGAAATTCTTATCTAATTTGGTGTGCATCGCTAAAGGTAAGAATTAGTATTGTATAATTTAGCTTTCTTTTTTTGGAAAAGGTACTAGTATTTTATAATTTAGTTTCTTTTTCTTTTTCGTTTTTAGGAACCGAATGAAATGCTGCTTTGAGAGAGCTTAAAAATAAAAATAAAAAATAAAATTTTTGGCTATGAAATAAAATGTGGGCATCATCCTACGTCGTCCTTGTCATCATCCTCCACCTCATCCTCATCATCCTCATCTTCATCCTCTGCCTCATCCTCGTCGTACTCTGCTTCATCCTCATCATCCTTGTCATCTCCTCTACCTCATCCTCGTCATCTACAGCTTCATCCTCCATCTCATCCTTGTCATCATCCTCCTTACCATCCTTCACCTCATCATCATCATTCTCTGCCTCGTCATCCGCTGCTTCATCCTCCATCTCATCCTTGTCATCATCCTCCTTGTCATCCTCCACCTCATCCTCATCATCAACTTTTGCCTCATCCCTGTTATCATTTTCCACTTCAAGATTATTCAGCACCTCGACGAGATCATCTTGCTCGTCCTTACCAACAATGTAGGCATTGACATTACCCCATTCAATAGTTCACAAACATTGTCGGCATTGACATTACCCCAATCAATAGGTCTCGACAGTCTATTAGGACATTGATTTTACATTATACCACGTGTCACTAATTTAATTGCTATCCATTGCCGAATTAATTTAGGCAAATTATTAATTAGAAAAAATATGCATTTGTTGTTATATTTTTTTATTCATACCTCGAATTAATCGAGAATGACTAGTTTCTCCCTGTGCTGGAAAACTAGAAAGGGAGTTCAGAGAATTAGTGATAGTGCATAACTAAGTTGCACAATTTCATGAATTATTAAACTATAATTAAGAATACAATGCTTCATAAGATATTATTAGGAAATGATTAAGAGTTTAACTAAGAGATACCACCCAATGTATTACCTTTGTTTTTTAAGGATATGTTTTGGCTGCTTCGAAGAATTCATACCAAACCACAGTTAGATTCTCATGCTTCAAAAGGTGGACTGCTCAATGCCTAGGTGGTCAAAAGGGCCTGGGCGCCTCGCTCCACCTAAGCGGAGGGCCTAGGCACCTCGCCCATGGAAGCTGCCCTGGGTGATCGGACCGCCCAGCGCCTAGGAGGTCCAAAGGGCTTGGGCGCTTCAACCAGGGTGGCCAGACCTCCCAGTGCCTAAGCGAAGGGTCTGGCCGCCTCGCCTACAACAGCCGCTCTGAGCGGTCGGACCACCCAGCACCTAGGCGGTCTAGAGGGCCTACACGTCGCCCACAGCAACCACCCAAGGCATTCGAACCACCCAACGCCTAAGCGGTCCAGAGGGGTTGCACGTCTTACCCCTCGGCCGCCGCCTAAGACTGGGCCAGGGTTGTTGAGCGCTTGGTTAGGCACCTTGCCCAGCCCGCATGTCTCGCCCCTCGGCAGCTGCCCAAGACTAGGCCAAGGTAGTTGGGCACCTGCTTGGCCACCTGGCCCAAGCAAAATATTATTGCATAATAACCAAGTGAGAATCAAAACCCACTTCTTTTCTCTTTATCACCACATAAGTATGAAAAAGAAATTGATGTTTTGGAAAAGGAATCAGCAATCTAAATTGCATGATTGGTTAACTAGAAGGGTTTATACAAAATACGACTTTGGGTTTTAAAATAGTGTTTAGGACCAGAAAAGTTGAGAAAAGGGGTAGGTGAGCTTGTTTCAATTTTGGGAACGAAATGGCCAGTTCGATTACTTAGACCACCAACTGGTGCTTTGATTCATGTCTTAATAATAATTTTTGTGTAATAATTTTTCCTTTATTCTTTAGATTTATTTGGTTGGGCCAGAATCTACCTTGCCTGAGCTCCCTCGAACAACTGCCTTGACCGCCTCTCGAACAACTGCCTTGTCCTCACAAGCATGTGTGTGATCGTGTGTCACACCCATATAGGTATGTCTAACAATGAGATAATTTTAATGTGATGAAGAGATGGACTTGAGCACCTACCTCACCACGGTTTTGAGTTCGTAGGATAAGCCTGAGCTATTGCCCTTTTAGATCAAGGAACGAAAGCCCTCTGGCCGTCCAGCAATGCGGTTTGGATGCGGCCCCGTCTCTAAACTCAACACCTCACTTGGACTCGCACTTGAAAACTGCTAATGAAATCCAAATATGATATACTCCTCTTTAATGTGTTCTAAGGGTTAATGGCTCTAATTTTGGAATAGAGTAGTAGGACAAGAATAAGAGGAGATTGATAAGAAATTGATTTATAGATGAGAAGAAAAAGAAGAAGAAGAAGACAAAGTAAAAAGAAATGAAGGAGCGATCCAAAGAAAATTGTACAGTCTCCCGCCGTAACCTCTCCTAAGAGGTGTTATTGCAGATAAAGAAAAGCACCAGGCTCAAAGCCTTGGTACCCAAAGGGTTTAAAAAGTGGAATTACAGAACTGATCCGATAACTATGTCACTAAACCAAAAAGCCCCCTAAAAGTGATCAAACGAAGGATGAAAATAAAAGAGAGAGAGAGAGAGAGAGAGAGAGAGAGAGAGATGAAAGCCTCTCACAACCCGATCACATAGTAACTCAGTGGTTAGAGTAGTAGAAGGGTTAGAACTCTAGGAAAGCTAACTTAGGAATACCCCGTCCTAGAGTGACCGAGTGTAAGAGAAGCAATGTCTCTTATGACCCGACTTCACAGTACAAGTTGGCGGCTAAAGTAGGAGGCATGAGAGTTAAAACCATAGGGCACTATCTTAAGAAGACCCCTAATTGAGTGCTTAAGAAGTGAAAGAAATAACAAGCACCGAGAGAAATGAAAGAACGATGAAGTGAAAAGCAAAGTAAAGTGAATGAGGAGTTTAAAATATGGCGAAGAGAGGGAAGAGAGTGAAAGAAGTGTGAATGGAGTCAAGGGGTGATGGACCTACTTGAGGTATGAGTCTAAACTCACAAGGGGGGGGGAGCGGCGAGTATGGCAGATAGGGCATATAAGGCGGAAAGGGAGAGTAAGATAGGGCGGATGGTGGTAAGGGTGAGAGGGGCATATGAGAGTTATGAGTGAGATCGATGGATGAGAGGATAACGGGTGGGAGGGGCGGATGAGAAGTGTGGGTGAGAGGGCCGGATGAGAGGTGCAAGATGAGAGGGGGGAGGATGAGAAGTGAGGGTGAGAGAATGAGGGAGATGAAGAGAGGATGACAGGTGAGAAGTGTGGGTGAGAGCATGAGAAATATGAAGAGAGGATGACGGGCCTGCCTCTAGTGCGGGTCTGTGGATAGGGGAAGAGAAAGAGTGAGTGAGAGAGAGAGAGAGAGAGAGAGAGAGAGAGAGACAAAGAAGAGAAAGAGAGGAAGGAAGCCGGGCCTGCCCTAGGTGTGGGTCTGTGACTTCCTAGATGAGAGAGAGAGGGAGTAAGCAAAGAGAGAGAAAAAGAAAGAGGGGGGCTCGATCTTGCCTTGGGTTCTAGTGAGAGAGAGAGAGAGAGAGAGAGAGAGAGAGAGAGAGAGAGAAGAGAGAGAAAGAGAGAAGAGAGAGAGAGGAAAGAGAGTGGACCTCGAATAGGCTTGAGCCTAGGTACACCTTAATCGGTCCCGTTGCATGCACATGAGAGAGAGAGGGCTTAGTCTTGGGTCAAGGTTAAGATCTAAGGTCTAGGTGTCTAGCTTAGGTGGGTTAGGTTAAGGTATGGTGTATAAGAACTATGGTGTATGGAATGGGTTAAGGTGTAGGATGTATAGCATATGCTAAGGTATATGATGTACTATGATGTGTAGTGTAGGCTAAGGTGTAGGCAAGCTAAGGTAGGGTATACGGAGTATGGAGTAGGGTTGGAAGTTAAGGTTTCTAAGGTGTGTGGAAGCTATGAGTTCTAGAGAGTATGGAATTGGAAGTTAGGAATCCTAAGGTAATTGGAATTTTGGGGTGCTAGGGGTATTTTGTCTCTCTTGAAAATGTTTCTCTCTCCTCTCATCTTGGATATTGAACTTGAAAACAAAGTTAAAGAACAAGCAAGAACTTCAAGCATGTACTCCAAATGTTCAAGAGAGTCTCCAAGAGAGTTATTACAAATGACTTGAGTTCTTTATATAGAACAACCATAAAACAAGGGTGGAATGTTAAAAAACAACCAAAATTGTCAAAAAAAAATACACATTATATGAATTAAAATATTGATCCCGTTTTTTGACCAAATGACCAAAATACCCTTAAGCACTTTTAAACAAATGACAAAACCATCCCTCCATGAAGGGCCTCTTGCAATTGTTAGGCCTCGAGAGCTTTTTCGGATGCTTGCGGTAGTAATTCAGGTAATCAATTGTCGTAGAATCGATGCTTTAACTATTACGCACATTTTGGTACCCTTTGATCGCCTTGAAACATATTTTTTAAGAAGAACCCAAAATCCAGCCAAGTTCCATAAGCTTGTGATTCTTCGACCACCAATACGATACGATCTATGACGTTCCAAGCCTTCATTTTTTTATTACAAATTGAAGAGGATAGTATCACGATCATTTTGCATAAATTTCGTCTATTTTAGTCTTCGTTTGTGTACGTTCCAATTTTGAGAAGTGACCGAAAAATGGGATTCTGACGACCAGAAAAGTATGTCATTTTTTACCTTAAAATTTGTGTCATCCGACCTCTGACCATACATAAAAACTTTATCAAACTATAGCTCTTCGAAGCACGATCACAACGAACCTATACCTGCGACGATCCGACATTAGGATATTGAGCTATAGCCTCTTAATGAATTGGATGTTCTTCTTTATAACATCTAAATTTTCATGTTTAGAGTCAATCTTCTCTTTAGAAATTCTCTCGTTTCGAGTCATGTCATGATGCGTACCACATATCAAAACAAGCGTGCCGTCGAGATCTAGCTCTGTCCGAATTTAGCTTAATTGGACTCAAAACGAGTGAGTTATGAGCATTTGAAAATCATGCCGAATTAAGAAAACACAGTTTCCATAATGGTTACAGAAACTGGTTCACCGAGGCTGCACCGCAATAGCGTAAAACCCATCATTTTATGGTAAGTTAGGCCTAGAATGGTCCTGAAGAGTTTGATTGAGACGAAATTTGGTACCTTGGGGTTTTTCGATGTTCTAGATCTAATGGAGGTGGTCTGATATTGTTTTGAGACCCAAAAAATAGGGCTATAGTTTAGGGTCCATTTTTAACATGATAAGAACTAGATTTGAAAACCAAGTTTCGTCCTTATCATATCAAAACTCGTAAGAATGTAAAGAAACTTTGTGGGTATCCTTAAGATATCCCAAACTATACTCTCATGCAATTTGAGGCCATTCTGACACAGGTCGCTCAATATTAAGCTTATTGCTATAGTGTTCATGTAGTCTGACAGCATCTTGGACACCGACGGGACCGAGTTACTACAGGCTCTCTCCTTATTCGTCCCAGATATGCAAGTACATAAAAAATGACGTATAATAATATTATCATTCTAATATACAATTGCTTACTTGCTCCATAAATTCTTTTACTAGATATTATGTGAG